TATTCCTGAAGTATCCTATATTTTGTAGGACATAAACTTCTACTTCCTTGTTAAAAATAATTTTTGTAAATTTTGACATTTTTGCCGAAAAACTATTGAACTAAAATTTAGCCTTCTCTGAATCCCAGAGTATTTATGTGCCTTCTGGTTAGTTACGAAAATGTACTTTCCATCCTCTTGGTTCTCTAGACCCTATGCTTGTTGTCTTCTGTGGCACTTGTWAATTCAGACTCCTATCTTGTTTTATCCCTACAGATTTGTTCTATTCCTTTGTGCTCAGGTCCATTTTTTCCCCCTTTTTTGTATTACTTGTATTTCATTTTCCAATCATTGCTGAGGCTGTGATACAGCCACTGTGCCTGTCTCTACCCTATCCTCTTCCATGGCCACACAGAGAGGTTGGGGTCTTACCTGCAGTGCAACCTGCCCTGGGAGCTGCACTCCCTTATCCTCACGAGGGCCTGCTCAAGAAAATCATCTCAGTTCACTATATTTTTGGAAGTCTGCTTCTCTGGAATCTTTTGTCCTTATTCTGAGGGCCTCAACCCCTTTCTTTTCCTTAGAAAAGCAGAATTTTAATGATCATTTCTTACCTGGTATTTTTGGCTTCAGCTTTTTCTGTATCTCACTTCTGTTAATCAGAGGATAAAGGAAAGTGGCTGCTCCAATTACTGTCTACAGCCTCTGACACAAAGTCCCTAGCACATTCTAGAACCTTCTTCACTGTTAGCAGTCTTGTAGTTTTGCTAAAAGCTGGGAAGGCTATCATAGTATGTTAACATGCATGGTTATAAGAAGTATATAATTAATATTCTTAGTAATATAATCAGTAATATAATAATATATTGTTTTTCCTATTACCTTATTTTGTAGGGCAGAGTGAATTTATACAAGCAATTCTTAAAAATCATATAGGAGGCAGCATTTACATTGTCCTGCCCAATTAGCCCCTACTACAGTAGTGTCTCTTCCTGTTGTGCAGAGACACCATTTCAGAGCTTCCATTTTTCCTGCTACTGTGATTCCTCTGCTGTGGCTCATCACAGAATTTGGAAAGATTTCAAATATTGTTCCATATAATCACGTCACTGATTTTTTTTTTGTTAAACTTCAGTATTTCTCTTTCCCTATATTCTTTCTCTGTAGTTCTCATTTGAAGACTTGAACCAACACATGGCAAAATAATAAACTTTGTATTTTACTTACTTCCAGATGAGGAGTTCAAGGAAATTATAGCTGTTACTTTAGACTCATAACGATACTACAGTTTCTCTATAAACAGTTTCAAATGTACCAGTTAGAGATTTACATAAACCAKAAAGATGTAATCTATTGAGTATAAGCTCTAATTCCACTAATCATTATGTGGAAAATAGGGTGTGCTGTTTACTTGCTAGAGACAGCAATTACCAGTTATTCTCAACACAAGTGCCCGGGAAAGCAAAGGCTGGTTCTGCAAACATTTGCACGTGCTGTCTCGATTTCCTAAGGAGAAGAGGCTTATGCCATTAACTCTATTTACCTGCAAGTTTCCCCCTTTCTTTTTTAACCTCTTGGCCAATTCCAAGCAAATCTGACAGAGGACTGATGTCAGATGTACAAGGGCCTTGAAGGGAGCTAAATGCAGACAGAAAGTTACTAGGATGTCTTGGGGAGATGGGCAAAGGTTTAGGGTMATCAGAAGGTCCTGCAGTTGTAGCAGAGGGGAGTCAAATCAACTACTGATGATGATGTACTATAAGCTTTCTGTTATATTTGTGGGAAAAAAATCAACGTAAATTGAAAAGGATCAGACTTCATTCATTCTCATGGCCACAAAAGCATTCATAAGTTTGCTGATTTTGTGCAAATATGCATGTATCACTCGTAGAAACAGCGAGAACAGCATTCCAAATAAATCCACTACTTCTGCCTGAAATTACAATTTTCTTGGTGGAAAAAAAACCCTTTCTGTTTAATATGGGTAACATGCAAGTTAGAAAATAAATAGTCTTTGCCGATGTCAGCATCAGCAATACTGTTCAACATTAATGCTGATTTGCAGCTTACAACTATTTATCCATTATTCAACATCTGTCCTGGTCTGCAGGTGGCGAAAGATTAGTTTTAAGAACACGATTCCCCTACTCAAAATATTGGAAGCAATCAAAATTCAAAACTCTGGAGTTTTTCCAAGCATAGCAAAAATTGGCATTACCTTTCAACCTTGTATCTAGTGAATTCATTCTCTCGTATTAAAATTTCTCTCTCAAATACAGAGTTACCAATAAGTTCATTTCCCCTCAAAACACTGAGGGAAATTAAGAGAATTAAGCTAGCAATGTACAATGAATATCTTATTGGATAAACTTTACCTCTTTTTCCACTCCATTTCTGTAAACAAGTTGTACTTTTTTTTTCCACTATTCAATGGTTCTGCACTAATAATTTTTGGCTAAATAATTACAGCTTATGGAGGATTGCTTGAGAATTGATCATTATTGGTATTGGTGATTTGCTTCTCGCAGTCATATAAAAGGCTTTTTTTTTTTTTTACTCCAACTGGATAATGTCCACTTAAAGTAAAGGAAAACATTCCTTATAACTAAAATTTGTAGCAAATGCCTTGGGAATCTTTAAGAATTATTTCTTCCCACCTCATATACCTAACTATGTGGATCTAAGAAGTAAAAATATTTATAATACTAATAAAAAGACATTCCTTCTAATAAAAATTTCAGTGCAAGCATACAACAAAACAGATAAAAATGCATACAGCAGTATAYTGAAGCAATGAGTTTTGGCAACAGTGCACTTCTAAAACCCTAACTGTTCTTATGTTTTACCTTGATTTTCCAAACAGGTAGACTTTTCAGATACTAAATTTGTTGCATCTTTCTTACCAAACGTGGAAAAAAAATCTTGATTGTCAGTGAGGAAAGTGGATGATGACAGATTAGAAGCCACGTCCCGTGCGCTCAGTGAAATCTGGACACTCCTCTCCTGAACTGCCAAACTCCGTGGCTTCATTCAGGTTCAGACCGTTACTCTGCAAGCCCTCAGAGGAGCTGTAAAGCATTTTCTGTGGGAATTATTACCACTTCTGATAATATGCCATGGACCTTCCTACAGGAAGGCATAAGATTCTGTGAAATCAGTCAGTAAACAGTAAAGAAATCAGTGACAATGATAATATCATTGGGGAAAATAAACCCCCTGATGTTTGGTGAGTGTCATTACAGTCAGGTAATTCAAGTCAGCACCATAAATCTTTTTCCTCCTCCTGGAAAACCCTGACAAACTTTGGGGTCAAATAGACAGCAAGGAACATGATGCTTGAACACAATCATCAAGGGCTAAACAGAAAGCAGGATGTACTATGCCTAACATGCAGGCAGCACACGTGGGATGATGGGGAAAACACAAATGTGTAGGAGAGCCTACAGTTGACAGCTGCTGAATATTAAGCTGTTTTTTACACAAGTCTGTGCAGGAGAGCCTAACCAGTCTTAACAGCTCTAGGAATATCGCCCCAGGCCTTCCATAGCATGTAGCAGACATGAAGGCCATACACATTGTTTGGGGCTTTTGTTTTTACCATATCCTTGTTTTCTCTGCACTACCCTGACAACCTTTCTCAGTCATGCATGGTAAATACCAAAACCAAGAAAGAGCCATAGCCAGCAGATAGGCTTTCTTTCACTGAAAGGAATTAACTACTCTCCTCTCCGTGTATCTCTATTCTAACAGAGATAATGGACACTTGGAGACATGGAGAAGATTGCATAGGAAAACACAGAGACACAAACACAAGTCCTGCCAGCTCAATGTGGCTGCCTGAATTAACAGCCTGAGCAGTTATAGCCTGGGCTGACCTGAGCCAGGGATGCTCAGCACCCTGTACTGAGATCCAGCCCTCAACACAAGTGGCTGCTTTCAAGAACATAGAATCATAGAATGCCGAAGGTTGGAAGGGAMCTCAGAGGTCATCGAGTCCAACCCCCCTGCTCACACAGGGTCACCTAGAGCACGTGGCACAGGGCTGCATCCAAGCGGCTTTTAAAGATCTCCAAAGAAGGAGACTCCACAACCTCTCTGAGCAGCCTGTTCCAGTGCTTTGTCACCCTCATGCTCATGACTAAACATCTGCATAGCCCATGTTTAAACTACTAGGTTAGTTCTTTTACAAAGAATATAATTCTTAGAAAACTTTTGGTTTTGCTTAATACCCTATAGACAGAATGAACAATGAGCTCAAAGTATGAGCCTATAAATTTGGGACTTAATTGTCGGAGACATAGAAAAATCTAGGTTTAGGGTTCACAACACTAACAAAACAATTAAATTCAAATATTGTTGTGATCCACAAGAACATAACTCTTTCTGAAGTTTCACAGGATTACAAAGAACTGTGGACAACTGCTGATTATTGAGCTGGTATTTTACAACATAATAAAAATATATAGGTACCAAACATTGTTTGGAAAAAAAAATAGAGTTAAAAGCTTCCCTGGCTGAGCCATAAAAACTCTGCAGAGTTAGATACATTGCCACTGCCATTTACTCAGTCTGAAAGTGTCATACTGGGAAAAAAAATATACAGGGTTCAAGGTCAAGCACAATTATTCAGAAGTTAACAGAGAGCCTGAGGTGGCCAGAGCTTCGCCGTGGGTCTGCTGAGACCTTCAGCTGCAGCAGACCTCCAAGGGATCATGGAGCACCGAAGGGCTTTTCGGCTCCGAAGGGAACAAGTTTAATTGGCATAAAACAAAACAAGGTGTCTTTTCAAACAGAGAAGACAAAACAGGAGAGGGAAAGCAGAACACAATAAAAATAACATGTATATACTTCTTTCCCAAATATTGCCCTAGGAGGCACATCTTTGCTTTGAGAATTGACTTTACTCAGTTCAGTAATTTTCTGAATTGAAGTAAAACCAACCCAGTCCCTTCTGGTGCCTCCCACCCCTCTAAGCCAAGCTGGCTGCCCCTCCTCAGAGCCCCTCACCTGCATGCTGCTTCTTCCACGTTCAGTCTCATCTGGTCTTCTTACAGAAATGCAACCCCATAGTGAGGAATAAAGAAATAAAGAAAAATTGAAAAAGGTAAGTGAGCAAATACTGTCCACAAGAGACAAAACCAGAAAAAGATGAAAAAGAGCATAATGAAATTGAGGAAACTCTTTACAACGTGTACTCTATTAACTTATGCATATTCATTTATTCTCACAAATGAAGAACAAACTGCTTTGCCTTCAGTATACTGAAGTTTTTCATGTAATTCAAGTAATTCAAATTACCTAAACACACATGAAAAGAAATCTTTTAACATTTCTTCACAAATTAGGAACTCCAGAGACCTTAAAACTGGGGRAAAAAAAGCCTATGTTCTTTAATCAAATGAAAATGTATGTCTATTCATTAATAAAGGAGTTTCACCGAAAATCAATTGTTTAAGTGTTATTAGTGTTATTCAAAGGAAAGCAACTTCAAGCCTCATCGTTTAAAGACAGTCTCTATTTACAATCTCCATATTTCTAGGTGAAAAAAAAAAAACATAGATTTTGCACCATCCTAAAGGTAAAATAAATAAGAGCTGTAGGTGCCAACATACAGCTACAGAACTGGGCTCAGTAGAGCTTTTGTGATTGCTGCTACAGGTGTATTTCAGAATTTCAGAATATTTCAGAATATTTAAGGTTGGAAGGGACCTCTACAGATCATCTAGTCCAACCTTCCTGCTCAAGCAGGCACACCTAGAGCATGTGGCACAGGGTGAAATGTATGAAATGAAGGCACAGGGTGAAATGTATGAAATGAAGCATGTTCAGCAAGGTATTGAAATTCTTCTGGATCAAACTGCAAACCCAGTACAAGTTAACAGGAAATGTTCTCATCTACTGTATAATGCTCTGTGTCCTACAGAATCTCACATCACTCTTGTCACCATTAGAAATACCACCAGAAACTGTAAAATCAGTCCTGACACTAGTTATAACTGCTTTAGAGTTGGCTGCTTTTTTAAATTTGGCATATAATATCTTCTGTCAAAATAATTAAGGTCCTTTTGGAAAGGTTTTCCTGTTCTGTCTGGATTTCTTTGTGCAAGGCTGTCCCCCTGTCATTTGGAACCACATCCGTAACATTTTAATGGCAATTGCTGGACCTTCCCCTCTCAAGCTGAGCTTTCTCACATAACTTTGACATTTTTTTTTCCCAGACTCAGCCTGATGAACAGTGTGGGTTGATAATTCATCGCAGCCACCATATCTGTGACTGCCAAAAGCAGCTCAATCAGAGCTCCTAAAGCCACTAAAATGTTTCAAATTCCAAAGCTGATTAAAGGTGTCTCAGGACTCTGACTATAAACCTAAAGTTACAAATTTTAAAAGCCAAAAAAATAAAGGCGTATCTGCTTTGGTAGTGAATTATAAGTTTGCTACATCTCTGGCAAATTGAATTTCTGGTTAATAGTGGGATGCAATTAGTCGAATGCATCGTAAGAACTGCCTGGAAATATCTGACTTGTTTTTATAGTCATTTATATACTAGTAAACCAAGATAGAGAAAATTGCCCGAATAGCTTACCTAATGTCCAGATTAGCTAAAAAAACCCAAAATAATAATAAAATAAAAAGAGGAAAAAATCTACTAAATTCATTTTTCTTTTTGATTTACAGATTACAGAACTGTAGGGAGATGAACCTCCTCTGTGGCCAGTAAAGCCAGTTACAAAAGCCARATATGTGATGCATAAAAATATCCTTTTAATTCTAATTTGGTATGTCTCTCTTCTAAGTTTCTAAGAAACAATAATTCTGAGAAAAATGAAAACTCTGAAGTCCAGTATTTTCAAAGCAGAAGGTCCTGGAGCCATGGCAGATTCAGTGACCCATCTTGCTAACAGGATGGGTGAGACATGGAGACGCTGAGCAGAGCAGGGCTCTCAGCACTGCTCCCTGGGCAGAGTCCCCCTGCACCCCACAGGCTGCACCCCCATAGYCCCCCAGGCCTAACCTTAACACACCAGTTTCACTCCAAAGTACAGCAGGATACAGCAGACAGTTGCCTTGGTCCTTCTTCTCCCAGAAGAGAGGGTTAGTGCTTCCTGTGGAGCACACTTCCCATGGGAAAYCCCTCTGGGCTTCCTGGAGCTTCCACAGTACAGGGATGCAATTGACTCACAAGAGGCTGATGCTGCGAAGGAAATCCCGAATTTGAGAATCTGCTTCATTTTCTCAGAAAGTTTCCTACCATCTCTAGCTGCCAATTCCTTCCCCAGCAACAGGTAACCTTCCAGGGAGGCGCCGCGTGTGCAAGGTGCTGCCGTGGCCGCGGGTGCTGCCCGGCCAGGGGCTCACGCAGCGCCCGCACCTCTCACCAACCCCCCSGCGGCTCCCGGGAGGCCGCGGTCCAGCTGGTCACCGGCACAAGGCCGCCCGGGGCCAAACATATGGACACGTTGTGGGCAGAGACTCTCTGTAATGAGCTTTTTGTCAGAGCCCCGTGGTGCATCGTGCATAAAAATCAATAACAATTTCCCACTGCTGCCCAAGCTTTTATTATGTTTATATTTTAAATGAAATAGAGCTTCCTCTAAATCACTGCCTACCACTATGCTTTGGTGAGCCACATTATTTGAGAACCTGTGTTTTCCATCTCTATTGAGAGGCATGGAGTACATAGGGAGAACAGGCTCTCATATTTTAAATGCTTTATGTATACAAATAGGGAAAACACACACAGACTTTGTCTGAATATAAATATTCATAGAAATCAAATCACAGTTTGAATTTTTAGTTTTCTCTAATCAGTGGAAAACAAGTTAAACCTAACCATCGATTTCCAAAGGTAGTCTCCAAGTGTTTGAATTTGATTAGGCAATATGAATAGTCTGCCAAAATCTTCCACTTGACCTTAATCTGCTTCATGCCATCTGAAAACACAACAGAGCAACGTCGATGGGAATGTCACCTGGAAGAGTGATTGAGCCCACGACGCCGTCATTCTCCCAGGCACTGCTCTGAGCTGTCAGAATAAAAACAGGTTTTTCTTTCTTAGCTTCTTATTTCAGTAGGGATCAATTTACATTGGGCACATAGTCTCTGAAAGAGAGATTTTCTCAGACATACTTTTTTTTCAGGGCTGTAATCTCAGTGCTAAAATCAGTGAATTGAAGAATTCTGTCATCTGAATTTTCTGCACAGGACTTCAGTTATTTGGACAAACATCTCTGTGAGATCCTACCACAGCAGCAGCTTCACCACTGCTGCAGGGTCTACAGCCTCTTTCTATTTCTTTTTTCTTGAAAAGTCTAATGTTTTACCTCCTTTCTTGCATAGCTTTCCATTTACCAACAGTTAACGTGTGGAAGTGAAAAGCACCAGCAATGCCCCCATCTCCAGTCGCAAAGGTAACCAAAACAAATGCAGTCACTCTGGACGCCTCAAGAAGTTCAGTTTTTCCTCACATACATACAAGAATTTGCCTCTAATAATAGTGTAAAACCTGCCATCCTTAGTAGCAARGTGTTGCTATCAGACTGAAAATGATTCTTGGAATAACTTTCAACTCAGACCACAATATGCGTGCCACTAAGGAGGAAGCAAACATTACTGTGATACAGCTTGATGTGCGACATACAAAAACACTTGGTCCAYGTTAATCACTGTCCTGTAGAAGGAAAATTTACCCACTACAAGATGCTCAAACAGAGATTGTTGGAAGCAGACGTATTGCAAATGACACTCAAATCACAGAATTACACTGTTTCCCACTTAAAGCTCCCTGTAGTGGGATATCATTCAGAGAAGTATTTCAAATCTGGCAAACTCCAGCTTTGACATAAATGCACAAATAATAAATGCAGCATTTTGTCACTGTCTGCAGCATCGAAGTCCTACCAGYTCCACCAGGTGAAGTGCCTGCGATACAATCTCTCCCTGCCACACTGATGGATTTTCATCAGATTGCCTCTCCGCGCGCGTCCTTGTGGTTTCCAGATAAGTTTCGATTTCATTTCTCATTTTGACGGTCTATGGGAACAACACTTCTGTGGCTCTTTTTTTCCTTATTAGTAGCTCAAAGAACGAGGTCTCATGAACGTACGTGTTTTACCAGCTGGTCCCTGCGGCTGCCCCAACATCCCAGTGCAGTCGGTGCCGGGGCTGGACCCTGTCCCACTGCCCCAGCCTGGGCAGCACCAGCTGCATGGCCAATGCTTTAGAAAAGCACTGCTGGTTTAGCCTGTGCTCTCTCTTCCAGGGGAATCTGAGGCTCAGTATCATTTACAGGTATAGATCACACACTGTGCACTACTTGGAGGGTCTATTTTTCCACTGAATTACTATCACCTTCATTTGCAAAACAGTTAATGCAGCCAGCAAAACACTAACATTCCTAAGTCCACACAAGAGACTATGCAGTGGGACAAAGAAATAAAGTGTTACCATTTACTGCTCTTCAGTACCCCCCCCCGACGAGTCTTCTCTATATCCCAAAGAGCAAACAGCAAGAGATGGGACTTCGGAGACCTGTGAAGAGACGCAGGAAACACATGAAGCTGGTAGTATTAGCCACCAGTGACAATCATCAAGCCCCATGAATATGCATGCTGCTCAGCTCCAAACTCAGYGAAGTTCATAGGTACTTCTGCTTATTCACAGACTGCAACTTCATTGCTTCGCACTTTTTACTGGGACCTTCTATTCCTGAGAGAATTTGCAGTGAAACGTTAAATAATTGCCACTTTCACTCAAAAAAAAAGAATTCCAAATAGAAAATAAAAATAAAAGCACTGGAAGGCTTCAATTATTACTGATTAATTAAGTCTGACAGTCCTAAGGTCTCAGTGGAGCACTTCAAATTTTGCATAATTAACTTTTGATATCCATATTGTTTAAGGATTTGCTGTGTAATTTTAAGTCTATTAAAAAGTAAAACTTTGTTTTATTAGGAGTGTGGATAAAATAAAATAACAAGCTATAAAAAGAAAGAAGAGATCTTGGGTAATTACATCAACTGAGGTGTTACAAGTGTTGCACAAAGGAAGGTTAAGTGTAACTTCTAATTTAGCTACAGAGGACAAAGAAACTCTCCAACTCAAGAGCATGGGCAACTTGTATCATTCTCGGTTATGCAAACTCCTATAAATCTGCTCAGTTCCTCTGACAGATGATAGATCAAATTAAGGCACTACCATCTTAATTTAGCCAGAATAAAAAACAAAGGTGTCCAGCAATTGCAGACACCTTGAAACATGACTGCTCATGTGCTGATGCGGGTTGCTCAGTGACTCAGGGACAGATCTGCACGGAAAGACACCCTGCCACAATGCCCTTGGTAACGGTGGGTAGTAGTTCTGTGATAGGTAGTTCTTAGGCAGTGTATTCTTGCAATATACAATAATGCAATATATTCAAAATAGTCTTATATCAAATATGCAATATATTCTATATTCTATGCAATATAAAAAGATCAATATATAGTTCTTCAGAGTTCATGACATAGAAAAGAAGCAAACACAACAGCTTGCTGAAGAGACAGCTACTCTGTACACATCTGTCATCGTCTCTTTCGTTCCTTCCCAAAATGTGTTTTAACCCAGGGCTTTTTCTTACCAACACACCCACTTAACCTTATACTGAGAACAAACCCTTACCACAAACTAAAACTTCAAGCAAGGACCCGCACACATGCTCAGTTAATACACTGCAAAATTACATTTAGTATAATAGGAATATGTCTGCATATGCTGCATAAAATGAACTACATAATGGTGTCTTTACAAGACTGAGTAGCAGATGGTAAAAGCAGATTGCCCTTTTTCTTCACATTTCTACAGCATCTAAAATAGTAGAGCTTTGACTTCAAGCAACGTATTTAYGAGTGAACTGAATACAAATTAAGTAATTGACTAAACAAACACTAATAATGTTAAATTTCGTGGCACATTTTAGAGAATACTATATAAAAATTAAAAAAAGAAATATTAAGCTCAACACAGTTTTCCATTCTTTTTCATTTTAATAAAAGATGGTCAAAGTCTTAGGTCAAAGTGAAATAACAAAATAAAAACTCTCCTAGCTGCTCATATAGTCTGTACTAGACAAGAATATTTTTAGAGCAGGACAAGCAAATAAACCCCTCATGTAAAATTAGTCAGACTTTAAAATTCTGCTACTGAAACCCCAAGAGTTTAGAGTGAGATTAGTGATTTATGGCCCCTGCTTTCAGATAGATGCTAAAAATTGATTTGTTCAGTACAAGTCTCATGGTGAAAAAATCAATTATGGATTTCTGTGAATGAAGTAGTTTGGTAAAGATTCACGAGCTTTACACATAGCAGTCTAATCATGAAAGTGTGTGAATGAGGATGCACCCCTAAACTATCCTTCATACTCTGAAGGATGCCATTTGCTACACAGGAACCAGCAGAGCCGACTGCACCTTCCTCCCAGGCAAGGCTGCTCCAAGTACACGGGTCAGGATTTTGGACAGTGACATTGCCAACATGTCATTTTGGGGTACAAAATGCACACGGGCTGGCCAGGGCTTGGTCYTCCTGCCTTACAGCACTGCAGGTTTGTTTGCTCTTTTAACAGGCAGAACCTGCAGGTTCCCAGCAGCGCTGAATGCAGTGACACAAAGCTATCTCGAAGGACCCTGTTTGTAGGCACCRTCCTGCTCCAGGCCGAGCCAACCCGGGCTAGTTCTCCTGGGCTGCTGCTGCTGTGGAAGCACCCACAGGTGAGCAAAGCCATGGCCCTGTTCTAGGCACCTTCTTATGCAGACTGCTGCCACCTGCAAACATTTTTTTCGTGTTCCAGTAGTAGCACTTCTGTGAAAATGAACTGCCAGAAATGAAATCAGGAAAGCTGGGAATCCACAACTACAAATTCACTATAAATGCTTGAAGATATTCAGTTATCTCCAGGGCGCTGCTGCAGGAAAGAAAGGCTCAGACTAAACAGCTAGTGCCTTTTATTCTCATTAGCTCACAGAGTTAGTGCCAGGAGCAGTGGAAGCCGGTTCCTACCGTGCGCATCAGAGGCGGTTCCTGCCCGTGCGTGCTCTCCAGCAGCACCCAGGCGAACGCTCCAGGCAAAGAGGGTGCATGAAAGGAAACACAACAGGAAACGATTGCCTCAAGACAGTCGAGTCAAGGGCCATAATATGGCCTTAAACAMCAATTACAGTGATTTAAGCCAGAAAGTAAACCACATTTTTATCCGCAAGGTTGAYCTGTCTGGATGTAAAATGAATGCATTTGCCTGAACGACATTAAGACATACAGCAGGTCTCCAAATATGTATAAATTATTCATGTAATGATGGATAGACCACTGCCAGCACATTACTAACAGATTTTTTTTTAATAAATGTGAATCTTACAAATGTGAACAATTTCATTTAACTTTGTCTGTAGAGAAATCCCACTATAAAGATATTTAGGCCATCTTTTCTCTAACATCTAAATAATTATACAAAATGGTTCTTTCATGTAAATATTTAGATCTTTATCCCAGACAGAAGTGAAGAAAAACATCTAGTAAATGTCTTTTCATGACTCGGATTTTGGATTAGAAAGATCTGTAAGAGATGAAAAAGCAGTGACAATTCTAAAGCATCAAAAAGGTCTGCTCAGAGAAAAGATAAAATCAACAAATAAAGCTTTGCTCATCCAATCCAGAAAGAAATGTTAAGAAATGGTGGTGTTTCTGTTTCATGCATTCATTTGCTATCTATAGATGCAACAGTTCTCTGAGTGAATCAGAATGCAGCATCTTGCCTTGTCTGTGTTACAGAAATGCCATTTGACTATGTCATTATACTTCATCCTAGAAATATGCTAGAAATACAGGCTTTAACTGTCTATAAAATGCTATATAAAAAACAAAAACTCTGTGCGTTTTCTAAGCACCACCACAACTGTGACCTTGGCCATTTACAACAACTCCATTTCCACATTATACTGTCTCTGAAATAACATTAATATTACAGAACAAAT